TGTGGAGATTCCTTATTGGTTGACTGCTGTATCTAGTTTATGTTAATTAAGATAAGCTGTGTGGAATGTATATATACCCCTCCTGTCCTACAATAAACGGCTCCCACTCCTGCTGTATCAACGTACACAAGTTGTTCATCGCCCCGCCCCCCGTTATTTTGCTGCAGCCGGACTGCGGCAGTTTCTATTTCCTTTTGAAAGTTCTCTGAGGAGAAGTTGAACATAGCTCAAGTGTTCGTTAAACATTGATTTTAGCAGAAATAACTCATATTATGTAATTTCTCTATCACACACACAAAAAACCACCTTGAAGTTTTGCAACTATTTAACAGTAATGAAGATACTAGGTATCAGGGAGAAATTATTAACAAAATATAAAACATTTGAAGGAAAGAGCGTAGTGTTTCCTTTTGTGCTTTTGAAAAAATATAATAATGTAAGAAAAAGGCCAAACAAGGGGATAATGACCAAGGGAATTATCCCTGTTTAGTGAATAATGACCTGGGGTTTTTAAATAAATGTCAGGTTTTCTCTTCTTTATGTTTACAGATGTAAAAAAAAGTCTTACCCAGTCGACCTGCCAGTTGCTAGTGTTGTCATCTGTTTCTACAATGAAGCTTTCTCTGCCCTGCTGCGGACAGTGCACAGCGTGGTGGACCGCACGCCCGCACACCTTCTGCATGAGGTCATCCTTGTGGACGACAACAGTGACTTCGGTAGGTGCCACTGTGCCAGGTCCTGGGCACTGAGGCTGTGACTCACGCAGGTCACTGAACACACGCTGGGTACAGCTTCTACACATGCAGTCGCAGCTGAGCCGAGATGCCTGTCCATTGCTGTAGGTTCATTCTGAAGATATGCCTTATTTTTGTAATCTGTTTATAAACTGTGACCTGAATTTGGCCCTTGAAATTTTTCCCTTGGCTGAGTTTTAAAGAAATATTTGTAGATTTAAGTTTTGTTTATCCCTCATCAGTTTCTTCACTGGTTACATTGTACAAAATTTTAGTAAGATGAGGAAAGCAGGAATGATAAAATGTGTGTATTTTAGCCACATGCAGATTCCTGTGACCCCTGCTGCAGTGGAGGTCTGTACTGTTCCCTCAGCAGGTGGCCTCACTTGTGCTGCCCCCTGGCAACCACTCTTCTCTGATTTTGTCATTTTGAAAATGTTAGTAAAAGAAATCATTCAGTCCTTGTGAGATTGTCATTTTTCACTGGGCATAGTGCTTTGACCGGTCAGTTGTCCCAGACCCAGGTGGATTGCACTGAGAGCTCTGCGATGACCTCTGCCTGCCAGTACATTATGGTGCCCTGCGCACTGTCCATACCTGTCTTTAATTCACTGTGCACCAGTAGGTAGAAGGCTGTCGACTCATGCAGTGCCCAGCTACTCTGATAACCACCAAGGACTCAGCACCATGTGATTTCCATACCAACACTGATACCCAAAGGACCAACATTCTCAAACATTGGAAAATATCGGAACTTCAGAGTAGAAAATTTGGAAAGGTTATTGGAAATCAAAACTTTAGTGGCACTTGCCTGTAATTCCAGCAGCTCGGGAGGCTGAGGCAAGAGGATCACAAGTTCAAAGCCAACCTCAGCAACTTAGGCCCTAAGCAGCTTAGTGAGACCCTGCCTCAAAATAAAAAAAATTATAAAGAGCTAGGGATGTGGCTCAGTGGTTAAGCACCTCTGGGTTTAATCCCCAGTTCCAAGAAGGAAGGAAATAAAAATTTACTTTAATAAATGAGTGATTCTAAGTCTGGACCAAGGGGATTTGCTAAAGACTAATTGCTGGAATTTATGGTTGATGTTTTTGTTTGGTTTGGTTTGGTTTGTTTCTGAGTTGGGGTTTGCTATGCTGCCTAGGCTGACCTGGAACTCCTGGGTCAAGCAGTCCTCTTAGCTTCAGCCTCCCAGGTAGCAGGACTGGCACTTAAACACTATGCCAGCTTGATTTGTCTTTTTTTTTTTTTTTTAAGTATTTTTGATTTTTATTTTGTGGTAGTTTTATCTTAAAAAAATATCGTGATAATTTACAGTTATTTGTGTACTAACCATCTGTGAAAAATATTACTGCTTATTATCTTTTCTGATTTTTGACATTATTATGAAATTGAAGATGTGCACACCCTGGAATTCAGTAGTGCCCTACAAAGGAAGACACTAAAATATATAACCAAGGTCATATTTGTATGTGCGATTTCATGTTATTGGTAGGGGAAATAGAAGTGGCTTCTTAACTTTCTAAGGGAAGTCGGATTCGGTTGCCCAGAGCAGACCCCAGCCTGGTTCTTTTTTCACTGTGGCTGCTGGACTCCAGGCCTTGCTCTTATAGAGATTGCTCTCCCATGGACAACAGGGCCTGCAGGGAGTGACTCCTCCTGCCCTTCATTTTCTTTTCTTCCTATAGGAGAAGCTAGGTATTCTTTCAAAATAGAAGATTCTGTAGTTTTGCTCAAAAATTTGTTGTTGTGGATTTTGGCACATACCAGCTCCAACTTTAGAAAAGCTATAAAATGCTTTTGTGTGTGTCTCATACAGTTTGAATAATTATGGAACTCTTTATTTTCAGATGATTTAAAAGGAGAATTAGATGAGTATGTACAAAAATACCTCCCTGGAAAAATTAAAGTCATAAGAAATACAAAGCGTGAGGGATTGATTCGAGGACGGATGATTGGTGCAGCGCAGGCCACAGGTACAGCTGCCCCTATGTCTTCTCCCTGGTGTCCGGTGCTGATGCTGAGGGTGGGTCCTCAGAGCCTCCCCACGGCTTGAGTGAGTGCTGCTGGCTGGAGGCGAGGCTGACAGCTTAGAAAGGCCTTTTCGTAGCTCTGACTCTGCTTTTCCAGAGCACAGAGGGCGGAGAGGGAGCTCTGGAATACTTGTTGGGATGGTGTTACATTGGCCCTTCTTGCTCATTACTGTCCCTCAGCTAGGCTTTACATCTTACTATGTAAGCAAAAATGTCCAAACCAAAATGTAACCAATACAAAACTTAGAGCACACAAACCCAGCTGTTTCGCTTGCATTAGGCTCCTAGCTCTTAGAGTGGGGTGCGTGCCTTTGAAGCCATGAGTGGGGATCTCGGATCTCAGTTGGTAGGTTAGGGTTGGGCTTCACAGCTGTTAAAGGGGTTAAATCCTCCCTGTTAATCATTATGATTCCGTTGAGGGGGATGTCTCCATTGTTTCTAATAGCTCTTTAAATTCTCATTCACCATCTCTAGCTGTCCACTCTAAAAAGAAAGGGCAGGTGTCAACTGGGGACTCCTGTAGAGAAGGCATCTACAGGAGTCCAGCTCAGCTGCCCCAACCCTTGCGGTGTCTTTGCTGTGCTGGGTTGAGCTCGGGCTTCCCTATGCCAGGGTTGTGCTTTGCTTCCTGTGGTCACCAAAAAGTGTGTGGGGCTGGTGTTCCTGATGTTCCTTTGTGGTCCTGATTAAAGAATTAGAGATGTGATGTTGCAGAGAGTTTGTGGACATGGAGAGGGGACTCAGAAGTGGTGTGAGCTCGCTGAAGGCTCTGCTCTGCACACCCAGCCGCTGGCACCTGCCCTGCCTGCTCCAGCTGCAGCCACTGTCATTCCTGCTCTACAACCTCTAACTTGAGGCAGTTAGCGGACAGAGATCCTGCTCATGTCCCCTGGATTTCTAGATGAGGACTGCTGTTCTGGCTGTGCGGTTACTGAAGGCAGCAAGGTACAGCAGTGGCTGGGTGTTGTCGGACCTTGCTGTCTGAACTCCTTAAGTTACACACGTTTACTGTTGTGTATTTTTTTCAGATGAAAAGTTATTTAGGGGGTTGGGGCTGTGGCTCATTGGTAGAGCACTTGCCTCGCGTGTGTGAGGCACTCAACACCATGTAAAAAGAAACAAAATAAAGGTATATAAAAAAAGTTATTTAGGTGTTTTTTTTGTGGTACTAGGGATTGAACCCAGGGGCACTTAACCACTGAGCATATGCCCAGCCCCTTTTTTATATTTTATTAGAGACAGGGTCTTGCTGAGTCTTGCTAAGGTCTTGCTAAGTTGCTGAGGCTGGTTTTGAGCTCACGATCCTCCTGCCTCAGTCTCCTGAGTCTCTGGAATTACAGGTGTGTGCCACCTTCACTGGGATTTCAGGATTTCTTTTTTCCCCATTATGATCTGGTGGTCATATATAGTTTTCAGATATGGAAGCTAGTTTGGAGGAAGTTATTGTGGCAGGTTCATTGTGATCTGGGGTAATTTTACTTCCTCTAGTTAAATGGAGTTAATTGGAAGAAGTAACACTTCCAGAATTAAGAAAAGCTATGAATACACTTCTGCTCAAAGAAACCTTGATTGAATTGGTCTCATTTCACATTTAATGCACATGCTGAGCATTTGTCTTTCTGCATTCGGCGGCAGCCAAGAGCTGTGTGCCATCTTGAATCCTCGTTAAGGTTGTTTGCAAATATCGATCTAACGTGACTGATTCACTGTCATCTTAGAAAACTTTCTTGCCTGAGGTATTTCTTTTATCATTGAAATTGGATTCACCTCGTGCTTTTAGGTAACTCATGTAAAATCTATATCAGAGGTTTCATAGATGCACACTTAGAGTAATAATGCTCCCTGATGAGAGTTTATTTTCCCAAGTGCTCAGAGTAACTATGATGATGTCAAAGAAATTTGGAATTATCAAGAACAGAAGTCCTCATTCTTGCTCACATTTATCAGAGGAATTAAAAATGCAAGATAAAATTTTTATGAATAATATTTTGCAAACTAGAAGGAAGATGTATTGTGTTGGCTGATGAGAGCCACTAAAGCTGAGAGAGTTGGGGAAGTTAGAAATGTAGGAAATGGAAGAGTGGAGTGTGGGAAAGGCAGGGCCATGGGAGGCACGGAGGGTGCGCCTTAGCTGGTGGCATCTGGCCAGGAGCAGTGCTGCTCTCATTAGGGAGAGAATCGCCACACACTAACAATTAGTGATGCTTCCAAGTCCCCAGCTGAGAAGCGGTGTGTTCCCTATACTGTTTAACCGAGGCAGGCAATCTATTTGAGTATGTACTAAATTTAGAAGTATTTTGATTAAAGTAGTTGTAATGAAAAAAGCCACACACAGCAGGCCACTGTGTACCAAAACATCTTGACTCACTCGGTCTGACCCTTGGAAGAATTTAATTGTCCCTGTGAGACTTTGTCCTTTTCCCGAGTAGATGCCTCATTGTCTAGAAGCTTCTTGGGTTGTGCAGATGACAGCAGAATGCTCTGGGCAGAGTGCTCTCTTGTTCCCAGCTGGCAAAGTAAAGAGTACCAGCTTCTTGTTCGTCCCCTGTACTGGCTGGTGGCAACCGCACAGCAAGGTGGGAAGCAGTTCTTCTGAACTCTGCCCTTTGCCCCCTCAGGAGAAGTGCTTGTGTTCCTGGACAGCCACTGTGAAGTGAATGTGATGTGGCTGCAGCCCTTGCTGGCAGTCATCCATGGGGACCCGCATACCGTGGTGTGCCCAGTGATTGACATCATCAGCGCCGACACGCTTGCCTACAGCTCGTCTCCAGTGGTGCGTGGAGGGTTCAACTGGGGCCTGCATTTCAAGTGGGACCTGGTCCCCCTTGCTGAGCTGGGTGGGGCAGATGGAGCCACTGCACCAATAAGGTAAGACTTTGCTTTCATGTTTTAAAAAGTCTCAGTATTTCCTTGGAAAAGAAAAATACGTTAAAAATCATTCCTGCTCATTTGTAGGGGGGAAGTGTTGACTTCATTTGTCCACTAAACATTTCTTTGAATTTTTTGTGCTCTGCCAAGTCTTAAAGAGAGATTTGCAAATAACTTTATAGTTAAAGCTTTAAGGTTTTATGAGAGAGGCAGATGGATGCGGCAGTATCCTTGGGTCACTGTTGCACGAGGCACCTTGGAATACTTGGTGTCCTGTATCATGTTGTCAAAGTACGCAATTTATTGCATCGGTCTCGCATCGGTCACTAACTTGTCTTCAGTTCTTTGCTACGTGTTGAGTATCTCTTCTCTAAAATGCTGGGACCAGAAGTATTTTGGATTTTTGTTGGATTTTGGAATATTTGCATATACATGATGAGTTATCTTGGGGATGGGACCCAAGTATAAACATGAAATTTATGTTTCATATACATATACTTTATACATATAGCCTGGAGTGGTCTTAGTGTACCTAACCTGTCGCACAAAGTCAGGTGTGGAATTTTCCACTTGTGGCTTCATGTTGGTGCTCAAAATGTTTGATTTTGGAGCATTTCTGTTTTTGGATTAGGGATGTGCAACTTATAATAAGAATAATGCTGTGCTAAAGAACATCAGTATACCAGCCTTTTCTTTAATCAGGCTTTCAAAAGATGGATTCTTAACTGGTACAAATACTGATCCTAGTGTATTAATTATTTCAGTGTCATCCATAGTATGTGTTATAAATTTGCTCTCATGTTATTTTTCCTGTCCTATTTTTATTTAAAATTTTTATGTAGATTTTATAGAACTTTAAAGTCCTTGGTCATTGTCTTTTTTAAAAACATATATTGCAAAAATTAACATAGATAAAAAGTACAAGCTGCAGTTCACGCACCTTGACAGTGGTTATGTCATGACACTCTGTAAGTAAGTGCCACTTCTGAACAGGACCCAGAGGCCCCTCCAGGCCGCCCTGGTCCCAGCCTGACAACACAGGTGTTGTTCCCCGGCTGTGACATGTGCTTGCTCTCCGCATTAGTGGCACTTCAGGGAGGAGTCTTTACACAGAATAGTTTTGCCTGCTCTTGCTCTTTATATAAACGCCCACTCGGTTCATTATTTAATTTCACTTTGTTTGTTCAACATTGTTTTGAAATCTTTCCGTGTGTGGTACACGGCTGCAGGTGACTCATTTTCACTACTGGGTAGTGGTCTGGGAGTCCAGCATGACATTTATGCAGTTCACTGTGTGTTGGTGGAACACTTGGTTGTTCTCTGTTTGGTGTTCTTAGCTTTATAAGCAGAGCTGTTAGCCTTCTCATTTATGATGTCTAGTGAGGTGAGTTTGCACGCCTCTCCTCAACTTTGGTAGATGATCTACTGCAGATCCTTTCTCAGCAGATCAGGTGTCCAGAGTGCCCCCGATGGTCTTGCAGCCCTGGTCCGTGTGCATCTGAACCACTGAGGGGACAACGATAGGTCTGTGCCTGGTTCCAAGGCTCTGATGTGATCTCCCAGCAGAGTGGGTCCTGTCTCTGCTGTGCTTTCTGGTGGGCCTGCTGCCCCTCCTCCTAGAGGGAGGGGCATCCCTGAGGAGAGCACAGCTCTGGTCTCCAAGTGCTGGTCGTTCTGTGCACTCACCCCCGGGACGCAGCGAGGCTCCCAGGGGGTGGACGCCTTTGTTTCTCCTCCCTCCTCTGGACCTGGTCCTCTTCAGAAGCTTTACTCAACATGCAGTTGAGTAAAGTCGTCTTTTTTTTTTCCGTAAACTTTTTTGTTGCCAAGAAGTACCCCAGACTTTGTTGCATGTATTCTCATTCTTAGTTTCAGTAGCTAGTTAAATCTCTTCACCTGTTTCACCAACTTTGGAGATATTTTTATTGCTTAAATTTTAGTATTTTTAATCAGAAACACACATCTGTTCCTAGATGAGGAAGTGGAGACCTTTGGGGGAGGGTCAGGCTGTCTTCTGCCCTTTCCTCCTGTTCTTCCTCTCCAAGGCAGGTTGTGGGCCATCTCTGCTCTTGGCCTTGTTTCTTATTTCTTGGACGCCAGATGATAGGCACCATCCTCTTTTCAGGATTAAGCAACTTTAGACTCTGGACATGAAGCATGAAGACTGCTCAGGACATTGGTCCCTGTCCTCGGTCCCCTGGGCTGTAGTGTGGTCAAGCCTGGTTGCCCTGTCAGTGCCACCATGGTCTTATGTCTAGATTGGCCCTATGCAAGGGCATACAGTGGATCTTGTTCCCTTTGTTTTTAGATCAGTGTGAAAGCTCTGTCTTTTAAGACCCTAGTTGTGCCGTTCGCTTTGTCTGTTTCTGTCTCTTGCTTGCCTTTATTTGGACTGAGTTCAGATGTTTGTGTTCTGTTTCCGGCTGCCACCCATTACTAGAAGGCACATATTCTTACTGTTTTTTAGTGGTCACCCTGGACATTTTGTGTGTGTGTGTGTATGGGGAGGGTTGACCGTAGATTGAACCCAGGGACACTTGACAGTGAACTACATCTCCTACCCTTTTTAGTTTTTGAGACAGGGTCTCATTAATTGCTGAGGCTGGCTTGAAACTTCCTGCCTCAGCCTCCCAAATAGCTGGGCTTATAGGTGTGCACCACCTCACCTGGCCAGTGTATATTTTTGATTTGTCAAAGTTTAATATAAATTGGCACTTTCCTCAAACATTTCCAGGGTCTTAGAATGTTCATACTCTAGTTCCTCCCTCCTGAGGTATATGCTGTTGATGAGATGCATGTACTTTAAGCTCCGCAGGATGTTTTTGTGTACTCAGCATTTATGTTGTTTTGTGCACATTATTTCCCCCTTTATGTTACCTGCTCCTTCAGCATCTTCATGCTAAAGAGTGGTCTTCAGTTATTTCCTTATTATTTCTTAGTTTTTACTTTTCTGAAAATGTCCAGTTTCACTGTTGTTTTTTATTTTTTGGATATTGGGGATTTATAACCCGGGGCACTTTCACCCCTGAGATATTTCCCCAACCTTTTAAAATTTTGAGACAGGGTCTTGCTAAGTTGCTGAGGTTGACCTTGAACTTAATTATTCATCTGCCTCAGCCTCCCTAGCCACCTAGAGTATAGGTGTGTTCCTTTAAAAAATATTTGTACTCAATATACAGATGTAGTTGGCTGTTTTTCAGGATGCAAGAACCTTCTGGCTTTATTTTTATTTATTTATTTTTTAATACTTATTTTTTAGATTTTTAGACGGACACAATATCTTTATTTTATTTTTATGTGGTGCTGAGGATTGAACCCAGTGCTTCACGCATGCCAGGTGAGTGTGCGACCACTTGAGCCACGTCTCAAGCCCAAGAATTGGTTTTTAGATTAGGATAACTATGACTTCCTCTTTGATTGTATCCAGTTCTCTGCAGACTTTCATTCTTTTGTCCTTGAACATATCGAGCAGTTACTTTGAAGTCTCTACTTGATAACTTCATCTTTGAAAACCCTGCTTGTCTGTTTCTATGGTAGGTTGTTTCTCTTGTTTTCCTTCATGTTGTTTTTATCTTCCTCGTTGCCTGGTTATTTGCTGTTTTGTTTTTGCTTAGGGCCAGACATTGGGTCACTAAAACCCATGATCCCCTGGATTCAGTTTGAGGAGTGAGATGTCCGGAAGTTGGGCCTGAGCCTTACAGAGGCTGCCTGCTTCTGCTTCCTCATTCCAGCACAGGCTTCTCAGCCTCTTGCCCTCGATAGGACCCCAGGGTCCTTTGCTGTGTATTAGGATAGGTAGCAGAATGCCAGTAGCAGCCCCTCCACACCACCCATATGCCAAGTCATGACAGCTAAGAATGCTCCTATTGTTATTGTCCATTGAGGCAACGAAGTTGTCCCAGTTGAGAGCCACTGGTGACACATTTGGTCCTGCTCAAGGGACCAAGGCTTGGGAAGTCTCTGGTGGACCTTGGAGTCATTTTTATCCCAGTGGCTCTTTCTGGTGGAGGAAATCATGATTGATTCCAGATAGAATCCTGTCAGACATGGGATAATGAGAAGGGACTCTTGACACTTACAAAAATAGCTTTCATGTGCAACACTGAGCACGTCACTAGCAATCTAGAAAATCCTCTTTTGTGGCCCAGCTCATTCCCTGATGGTAGGTTGAGTTAATGGTTAATCTGTTTGTTTCAGAGCTACACTGAATTTTTAAAAACAGAAATGGCAGGTGAGGTAATGGCATGTCCCTGTGTAACTGTACAGAGTTGGTACAGGAATTCTCTTTTCCTCCTAGGTCACCTACCATGGCGGGGGGACTGTTTGCCATGAACAGACAGTACTTCAATGAGCTTGGACAGTACGACAGTGGCATGGATATCTGGGGAGGAGAAAATTTGGAAATATCATTTCGGGTAATTTTGATTTTGTTTGTGTTCGATTACTAACTGTGGTGTGAAACGTTGTTGTTGTTGTACATCTGTTTTCTGTAAGTGCTCCTTGGCTTTCTTCACGGACACAGTCCCGAGTTAGGGCTGCTTTACCAGAGCCTGTGATATGGACAGGATCTGTTCAGAGATGGAGAAGCGCTCGGAAGGCCTTTGTCCTCAGAGTGTGGCAGGTGTGGCTGTAGAGGGCTGGGTGTGGCCTGGGGACTGGAGTTCCACTCTTTAGCAGCTTGTATGTCACTGCTGCTGCCAGGCACATGTGGTGGGGGGGTCCTGTCCCTTCTGGAGGTTCGAGGCTCCCATCTCACTGTGTCCGTAGCTGGACCTGCCATCACCTCTAGCTGGAGTCCTCCCACCTGAGGGGCAATTCCACATTCTCTTCTGAAAGGGCACGGTGTGGCTGGGTCTGTGGCCTGGGGGACCTTGTGGTAAGACTGTTGTGGGGACAGGAAGGGGGATGGAGGGAAAACTGAGGCCTCCCATCTCTTGGTGCAGTCAGCAGAGCCCTGGAGGATAAACCACTGTATGGACGAGTGCGTCATTTTGTATTTTTGCAGATATATTGACTGCATGTTTTTAAAGAGTTTTTTCCTCCATAATTTTAAAATTTTAAGATTAAAGGCAAAGGCATATAGATTATCATTAGTTGCAACTTATTTTTTTTTAAAATAGTAACTAAATAATTCACATAATCAAGGGCAAAATTTAGACCAGAACTAAGGTCTTTTGACTCTTAATTCATAGGATTTCTTTTAAAACATGTATGTTTATAATAAAGTACCTAAGAAGTTGGAAGACCAGTTAATCAGCATTCCTGGTCCCTAAGTTTCTGAGATCAAGTTCTTTGACCTGGTAAAAGCAGCAAAGTCTGGTGAGCATCTTTCATATACAGCAAAAATAATATTACATTGCTTTAGCGTTTTTAGTACACTTTTAGTGCATTTTAGAAAGGTGTGATTTTTAAAATGTCCCTCTGATTTTTTTCTTTGAATATTTCTATTAAGATGCTTCATCTTGCAAAGTTATAGACCTATTTAATGAAGATGTATTGTATGAACACTCGTACAGTGGTTCTGCAGCACTGAGCAGCGTTTAACGCACACTTTGCTTCTGGCCAGATCTGGATGTGTGGCGGTAAGCTCTTCATCATCCCTTGCTCCAGAGTAGGACACATTTTCCGAAAAAGGCGGCCCTATGGGTCTCCTGAAGGCCAGGACACCATGACACACAACTCTCTGCGGCTGGCACACGTCTGGCTGGACGAGTACAAGGTGAGGCCTGAGGGCATGGTGGGAGCCCAGGGCAGGGGTACTGCGTGGGCAGGGGCTTCTCTCCTCGCCTAGCACCGCCTCGTCCCCAAGTCTTCTCTTCACTCTTTTACTCAGTGTCGGATCTCACCTCCTCTGAATCGAACAGTGGCTGTGCTGTCAGAGGCAGTGCCGTGACTGCCTGGGTTAGTTCTGGTCCCCCTGGACTGCCAGAGTTGGCTGTGGGTCTCATGCTTTCCTCGTTAGGCTCCGCCCACCTGGGATTCCTTTCCGATTTTTCTTCTGTCTCACCCAACTTTTGGTATTTTCTTTGTGATATTTTTGAATGTGTTCACATATCAATTTTGGAGCATTTTTTATCTCCTCAGAAGCTAGCACCCTGCCCCTCATCTGTCACTCCCTTTGTCACCAGGCATGACTTTGTAGTTAACCCGTCTTTCTCGGACATTTCACACAAATGAAGCTGTCTGTGATGTGTTTTCTCTCTGCCTTTTACTGGGCCTTAACGTTTTCAGATTCATCCACGTTGTACCACGTATTAGTATTTTGTCCCTTTTTATTGAATAACATTCAATAAAAAAGGACAAAATACTAATATTCTGTTGTGTAAATATACCACATAGTACTTTTCCATTCATTCAGCTGAAAGACATTGAGGTTGTTTCTATTTTTGACAGTTATGAAAAATGCTGCTGTGAATGTGTACATTTTCACTCTTTTATTGAGCACCTACTGTGTGCCAGACTCTCTCAGGCACAGGGATAAAAGGTGAATAAGGGAGTGTGAGTGATTTCCAACACGGAGATGAATGCAGGTGGAGGCAGTGTTTGGGAGCAGAAGCAGGGACCCTGAGCAGCTCCTCAGTATTGCTTGCTCCTCTCTTCTCCTCTGCCAGACTGTGAGCTCCTTGAGATTCAACTTTGTGCTCATTTGGAGCCATCTTTACCTGACAGATCCCACAGTGTGATCTGCCGGGTCAAAGCCATTTGCCTGGTCAGATTGGTACAGCCTTTGTCATGCTTGCCATGTTGGCGTGGCACTGATGGCGAGAAGCACAGGGATAAAATGGCAGGTGCCCGAGAATCAATCAGATGTTGGCACCAACTCATACTCAGAAATGAAAACAAAAACCCAGGGACGTGGGAGAAGAGGTACATTCCTGCATCGTTGGTGGGACTGCAAATTAGTACGACCACTTTGGAAAGCAGAATGGTGAGTCCTCAAAAGACTAGGGTAAATACATGTGGTGGTGCCATTCCTAAAGAACTCAAGTCGGCACACTATGGTGATACATGGGGCAGTTCACTATAGCTTAGTGCCCATCAGCAGATGAATAGATCAAAAAATGTGGCACATGTACACAAGAGTTTCACTCAGCCATAAAGAGGAATGAGATTATGGTATTCGCCAATAAGTGGATGGAACTGGAGACTATTGTGCTAAGTGAAATAAGCCACATTTTCTCTCATATGTGCAAGGTAAAATTAAGGAGGAAAGGGAGAGGGCAGATCCCACAAAAAGGGAAGATGAGTAGAGTGGGGGAGGGAGGAGGGATGGGAAAAGGGAGGAAATGCAGAATTAACTTGATAAAATCACACTGTGAACCTATGTGACTATGCCACAGTGAATTTTTTTTTTTTTTTATTGGTACCGGGGACTGAACCTAGGGGTGATCAACTACTGAGCCACATCCCTAGCGTTTTTTAAAAAATATATTTTATTTAGAGACAAGGCTTCACTAAGTTGCCGGGCTAGCATTGAACTTACAGTCCTACTGCCTCAGCCTCCTGAGCTATTCTATAAAGTATTCTATAAAGTACCAATTTTAAAAAAGCAGAAGGACCACCAGTTAAAGAGAAGGAACCTGGGAGGGAAGGAGGAGAAGGAAAGAGGAGGCTCTGGGGTGGACATGGTGCAGATTATATTCAAGGCATGTGTTACTGGCACACAAACTTGTATACCTATAAAGCATTTCACAGAAAAAGCCAGTTTAATTTAAGAATGTCATTCATGAAATAGTAAAAAATCTCAGCACGTCCTAGTAAATGTGCGTGCCTGTGCGGAAAGCACTCCTGCTGCAGGCTGGACAGTGCAGCGTGTGGGAGGGAGCCTGCTGTCCTGATCCGCATCTCCCCTGTTCCCAGGACGCCTGACCGCGTGGTGGTTCAGACCTCTGGTGTTTGACAAAGACACTTTCTCAAAAATGAACCAGATCAGTGATATTTATGAATTTAAATATTGTACAGTTAAATTTTGGAAGAACTGCATAACTCAGTGGGCCAGTCAGTATTTTCCAATTGACTAAAGGCATCATGGTATAAACTCTTTCATGAGTAAAAGAGCCAGAAAGTTTTAATGCAAAAGTATGAAAAATCTCAACAGTATTTTGTTCTACATTATAATTAAACTTTTTCCTTTTTTTGTACTAGGAATTGAACTCAGGAACTATTACTGAACTGTTTCTCCAGCCCTTTTTATTTTATTATTATTTGGAGTTAGGTCCTTGCCGGTTGCTGAGGCTGGCTTTCAACTTACCATCCTCCTAACCCAGCCTCCTGAATTGCTGAGATTACAGGCATGTGCCACCGCACCATTTTAAAATGAAAAATAAGCTGGGTGGATGGCACATGCCTGTAATCTTGCTAAGTTGCATACATGGCTGGCCTTGAACTTGAGATCCTTCTGCCTCAGCCTCCCAGTAGCTGGGAGCATATGTACCATACCCAGCTATAATTACACTTAAGATAATTACTACACCAAACTCAGTAACTTTCTAAACAGCTACTTGGTGCCCATTTTCCCCTTGTTTTCTACAATATTTTCATGAGGTTGTATTTTTCAAAAATTTTTGCAAAAAACAAAGCAAATGCCACTGTTCTCACTAAAGTTTGATTTGAAAATGGTTTATTTTAATGAATAAATATTTTTATATTTGCTTTAAATAATCAATAGTATAGCCCATGCAAACAACTTCCTTGAGGGGTCTTCAGTAGCTTTTAAAAATATTGAATCCTAAGACCACAGAACTTGAGAACTACTCTCAGGCTTAACCTGTTTCATGGATGCAGAGATGTACCATTTACACGTTTTGCCGTTTCTGAAATTGGGACAGCATATCTTACAGTTTAAGGTATGTCCTTTTTTTTTTTTTTCAAATGGTGTGAAAATTTCCATTGGTAACATCTGGCAACATCAAGAAAACGCTGGAATGAAAAATTCAAACCTCAAATATAATTGTCTGATACTTATTTTAACAAACAAAGTTCCATTCTTTTTCTTTTTCTAATTCAGGAGCAGTATTTCTCCTTAAGGCCTGATCTGAAGACCAAAAGCTATGGAAATATCAGTGAGCGGGTTGAGCTGAGGAAGAGGCTGGGCTGTCAGTCGTTCAGGTGGTACTTGGATCATGTCTACCCAGAGATGCAGATACCTGGGCCCAACGCCAGGCCCCAGCAGCCCATTTTCATCAACAGAGGACCCAAGCGGCCCCGGGTCCTGCAGCGTGGCAGGGTGAGGCGGCCGTCTTTGGCAGGTGCTTCACTAGAGGTGTGACCCCTTCCCGCTTCCTCGCAAGAGCCTAGCTGTCGCCAGGTCCTTCCCTGCTGCCTGAGGGAGGCTCACTTCCAGGCAGGCAGCGCCCACAGCTGTGGGGAAAGGCACTGTGGGTCAGTAGATGCCTGAAGAAAACAGGAGCAGAGTGGCTCTGGGGACCGCCTTGGATGGAGTGAAGGTGGCACAGAGTGGGCTTTTCACACCCGATGTCCCAAGCAGTCCTCCATCAACATTCCCCCTTTCGGTACCAGGGATTGAACCCAGGGGCGCTTAATTTCTGAGCTACATCCCCAGCCCTTTTTATTTTGAGACCAGGTCTCGCTCAGTTGATGAGGCTGACTTTGAACTTGCAGCCCTCTTGTCTCAGCCTCGTGAGCCGCTGGGATTACAGAAGAAATGGGATTAACTCCATTTCTTAATCATACTTAAATTTTAGGGGTCTTCTCTTAAAATTGAACTGTTTTCCTGAATCGTTTCTTAGAACTGGCTTTCTGGCTAGCACCGTGGCATACACATAGAATCCCAGCTCCTTGGGAGGGAATCAGATGCGATTTAGGGCCATCCTGGGCAGCACAGCAAGGCCCTGTCTCAAGGCTGGGGACATAGCTCAGTAGCCCTGAGTTTGATCCCCAGTCCTGCCAAACAAAACAACAATAAAACCAAACCTGGCATTTTGAGAGTGATGGGTGGACGCTGCCATTTCCCATTTTTCCCTTTGACACTGCTGACGTGCTGCCAGGCTGGCGTCCTTCAGGGCCAGGCCTAGCACTGTCCCCCTTTGGGTTCTATTTGATGAACCCGGTCGGAAGCTCATGAGGTGGGAGGACGACGGGTGCCCCCGACCGCAGGTGCAATCTCCTCGGGCAGCCTCCGGTGCTCACCTGTAGTCAGCAGGGACGGTCCAGTTAATGGGGTCTTTTTGTGCCTTGGTGCTTATTTCCTTGGTCTCATTTTGGAACTTCAGGGTGGAGATGGTGTGTACTTCCCTGCCCCCACAGAGGTGAGCTCGTCCATGGAGAGATTCCCCCGTGCCACTGTCCATGCTGAGACTGCTAATGGCCTGGACACTCATGCTTGGGACTCAGTTCCCGGACCTCCTGGGCAGGCACCTTGATGACGTCTGTCCTGTATGCCGAGTTGTCACAGCGCTCTCCTCTCTTACAGCTCTACCACTTCCAGACCAATAAATGTCTGGTGGCCCAGGGCCGCCCCAGCCAGAAGGGCAGCCTGGTCGTGCTGAAGGCCTGTGACTACCGGGACCCGACGCAGGTGAGTGAGGCCTCCGAGGAAGGCAGTGCTGGGAGGTGGGCTCGGGCCCAGGACCGCGGTGCCTGAGGTTCTGATCTCAGTCACACTTTCCACTGGGAGTGGCCCTAGAGAGCACTGCAGACACCACTGCTGTCATCCTCCTGTGTCCTCCGCGCACTGTCCTGGCCACATGGGGCTGTTCGGTTTGGCACTCCGATGTCAGAGGGATGTGTTTGGTCATTTCCATGTCTAGTGGTGCCTTGGTGTCATGCAAGAATGAAAAATAGACCACTCGGCCTTCTGGTAATGGTGAATGTACTCTTACCTAAGGTGATGAGCATTTTTGGACCATTCCTGGTAGGAGAGGTGGCAGTATTGTAGACACTGCTAGAATGGGGACAGGTCCCGGTGGGCTGAGATGCTGAAGTTATTCTAGGTGGAGAAGGAGTTTACTGTCCTAATCCTGTAGCCACATGTGGCTGTTAAATAAAATGAATGTCTGGTCCCTCAGTCAGTCACATTTCAGGAGGTCAGGGGACAAAGAGGCCGTGAAACATTAGCTTTCTGGAATGTTCTGTTTCTCCACAGAGTCTCCCCTTCAGATGGAGGCTTCACACGTCCCTTTTTACAGGTAGAAGCAGCCATGAGTAAAACAGGCTGAATGGAGGGAGGTGCTTGCCTTCTGAAGGTCCTGCTGGTGCCTGCGGGAAGGCTCCTCCCTGCACTTCCTGTTCCAGCCCCTGCCCCAGCAGATGAGACGGTTGACAATAGGTGTCCATGGTTCTACCCACACAGGGCACACTGGCAGCTCCTTGGCCCCTCTTTTTTTTTCAGTTTTAGGTGGACACAATATCTTAGTTTTATTTATATGTGGTGCTGAGGATCGAGCCCAGTGCCTCACGCATGCCAGGCGAGTGCTCTACCTCTGAGCTACAGCCCCAGCCATCCTTGGCCCCTCTTAAGCCCCACATAGTCTGTGAATTAAGAGAATTAGATAATTGTGAGATTTATGATTGTGTGATCAAGTCAACCAAATTCAAGCACCACTCAGGGTCCTCCCAGCATGGCACCGTCAGCTCTGCGTTGTTGGAACACAGCGCCTGAGAAAGGAGTGGTCTAGTTCGTTCAGTGTTGGAGGTTCCTGTCCCTGAGTGGTGACAAGGGTCGTAAGAGATAAGCCCTCGCCTCACAGCGGGTGCCCTGGGTACAGTTTCCACCGAGTCCTATTAGCACCAAGCTGAGGACCGCTCCTTCACCACACGGGCCTCAGGTGAGCACGGCCGGTCCCTCACACTCTGCTTCCGTGTGGGTCTAGCACATGAATAAGTCTGTCTGTTTTCTTCCACGAACACGAGAAGCGTTTTCCAGCTCTGATTTCCAGTGTTCCCGATTTCCTCTCTAGATCTGGATTTACAATGAAGAGCACGAGTTGGTTTTAAATAACCTCCTTTGTCTAGACATGTCCGAGACCCGCTCCTCAGACCCGCCTCGGCTCATGAAGTGCCACGGTTCGGGTGGATCCCAGCAGTGGACCTTTGGGGTGAGTGCATGAGAAGGGTGGCCAATGAGCACTCGACCCGGGGATGCTTTTAATCAATCGTTTATGTTCCACGGCTCCGTTGGGCTCTCCTATCTTTACTATGTTCAGTAAAACAAACAATTCCCGTTGCCTTTTTCAGAAAAATAACTGGCTGTACCAGGTGTCCGTCGGACAGTGCCTGAGTGTGGTGGACACTCTGGGTCCCAAGGGCTCCGTAGCCATGGCCATCTGTGATGGCTCCTCCTCACAGCAGTGGCACCTGGAAGGGTGAGGGGCTCCACCCAGTCTGCCAGCCCAGCCCTGGGGTCCGGCTGGTGGGGATCCTGGAGAGGGCGGCCATCTGCAGGCAACCAGGAGTCTCCACTGAGACGTCGAGGCCCCTCTGAGGGGAATTCGTTGCACATGGAGGGCGCACAGGGCTGAGCCCGGCGGGTGACATTCTGTTCCTGTTGGTTTGTGCTTCTCTAACCCCTTGGTGATGGAACTTATGATTTCCTGTCTTCCAGGACCTCATTCTGTTATCATTTAATATGTTTTAAATCATTTGAAGAAGTTGGTTGAATCCACAATGATTTTTAACTTTGGAAGGCATTTATAATATTTAAGAGGCAGTCAACTATTATAAATTATTTTGATGACTTATGACACTGTCCACATTTAAAATAAAGGATCTTTTTGATTATTTAATGCAGATTTTGTTTTTTGGTTTTTTGTTTTGGTCTTGTGGGGCCTCGGGTGTGATACGAAGTACTTTTGGATTCAGATGAGCTGTCAGCTGGGGAGCAGCCCCAACTCGAGGGGAAGCTTCATGGTTTTTTAGCTTGAACTATGAGTTTGGGTACTTTTAATCCATTTGCCTGTGAAGTCCTTAAATAGGCAGCTGGGTACAGAAGTGTCTTCTCAATTATACTGTAAGTGCCAAGATAAAAGGTGACATTTTCCCTCACATCCCAGAGGAGACACAGAATTCAGTGCCGAGCCACAAAGCCGCCTCAGGGCCACATTCGATGCAGGGTGTACATTGAAAGGCAAGGAGGCAAGATGAGGACTTGGCTCCCAGCAGCACCCCCAGGAGCATCACACAGTGACCTCAAACTGAAGAGCAGCCCTACTGGACACTGCCCCACCAGGAGCAGAGCACAGTCTCTTCAGGTCCACTGGCCGTCAGGAGGGTCAACCAGTGTCCATGGTGAAGGCAGCCAAGAGACAGATCCTCCACGGCCCCGCGGCCGACCTGCTGAGTACCCGAGGCTCTGCCCAGCTCGGTGTGTCCCAGGGCAGTGCTGTGCTCGCACTCGTGGCGCGTAGCTGTGGATGGGACTGACCTGACCACGTGTGAGTTCAGGTGACGGGACACCAGTGCTTATCTCAACATATCCCCATGGACGGAGGGGGCGCAGATGGAAGGAAAATCCTTAACCAGATAACTGGCCTCTGGAAACTCCAGGCAACCATGTTTCAGGTAAAAAGTGACCAGGGCTGGGCGCGGTGGCACACACCTGTAATCCCAGCAGCTCGGGAGGTGAGGCAGGAGGATCATGAATTCAAAGCCAGCCTTAAAAAAGTATTAAAAAAAAAAAAAGGGCTGAGGATGTGGCTCAGTAGTTAAGCTCCCCTGGGTTCAATCTCCCATACCAAAAAATAAGTGATGGGGCAAGTCTAGGCTGCCCGTTCTCTCCTCTGCCCCTGCACTCAGTGCGGAAGGCCAGCAGGACACAGGAGAAAGGAAGGGCATGGGAATGGGGGCTAGAGCGTCCTCACCACAGGACATTGCCAATTTACAGAAAATCAGGAGTGTTCAGAAATACCTAAGTCCTGGGTTCAGTCCCTGGTGCCAAAAAAACCCCCCCAAAAAACAAAAACAGAAATACCACCATGGACGGTCCCTGACTCATTTTTCAACCCCACGGTGGTGGGCACAGGAGGACAGCCAGCCAGACACATTGAGCACATTACTGTTAAACAGACTGTTAGATGGTTTTGCTGAACTTGGACTAATTTAAGTGCCTTGGCACATTTAACAGAAGTGAGGCTAAGCCAGGGCATTTCTGCAGGCAGCCAGGCGTATCAGATGCACTTTCAGCTTGGGATTTATTGGGACGCAGCTACTGCGGCTTGGGTGGGAGGCGGCGTCAGGTGACATACCTTGGGTCACAGTCCCAGTAGCTCCTGTAGAGACGGTAGTGTATGTGATTTAAAAATAGATGGAAGTGTATACACCAGAGAGTGGCCAGAGTCATTTGAAGAGAATTTTGGAGGGGCTGGGGCTGGGGCTCAGTGGTAGCGTGCCCGCCTAGCATGGGTGAGGCCCTGGGTTCGATCCTCAGCACCACGGAAAGTAAAATAAGGACATTATGTCCACCTACAACTAAAAAATAAATATTTAAAAAAAGATTTGTAGGAACTGTTCCAACTCAAGACCATGCTACTGACTGAAGGACAAGGAGCTGATTAGAACAGGAAGACAGACCCACACGTGCCCGGCCAGCCAACCATCAGCAAGGAGCTGGCCCGCCCCGAGGGGAAAGGAACCAGGCCACATTTGCTGGAGGACTCACACCCCATCTTAGGCTCAGACCATTTCCAGGCGCATCATAGAGCCAAACAACACTGTTAGCTTCAGAGGAAAACGTAGGGGAGTCTCTTCATTGCTTCAAGGTGACTTGCCAGAAGAACTAGCCATAAAACATTAATGGGATTGGGATTAATGGGATTGTTTATCAAGACACCATGAGGAAATGAAGTCAGCTGTAAACTTGTATCTGGTTCATAAACAGTGCTTAAAATTCAACAAAAACCCTAAACTTAAAAATGGATGAGATACCTAATAGATGCTTTTTTCCTCAAAGAAGTATAATATAAAATGCCAGGTGCAGTGGCACACTCTGTGACCTCAGTACCTCAGGAGGCACAAGTCCAAGGGCAAGTTGGCCAATTAGAAAGACCCATCTCAAAAACCAACAGGGCTGGGGAGGTGGCTCAGCGGTGGGGTTCAGTCCTGAGCACCCCGCCACACACGCGGAAGGAGAGCAAGGACGTGGGGCGAAGAAATGACAAATAGTGCCTTTAAGGAAACAATCCGGCAAAGAGGAAATGTTTTTAAACAACAACAAAAAAATCTGCTTCTGCAGAGATGAGCAGGAGGGTCTGGGCGGTCCTCCTGGGAGAATGTGCTTCTGCTCCTCGCTGGGGACACTGGAGACAACCACTTGGGGATTGAGGCGTCAGTGCACAGTTGGCGCACGGTGGAAGCACAGGGTGGAACAGACCACTTACCTCATGGCCGGCAAGTGAAAGGTTGGGTCCCCTCAAGGGCACTTCCCCAGGGACCCGAGACTGCCACCAGGCCCCACCTCTGCAGTTTCCACCACCTCCTGGCAGCAGGCCAGGCCTCACACGCAGGCAGCAGTTCTTTTCAGACTCCCGGTCACAATGAGTGTCGTCAGTGCTCCAGAGACAAAAGGTGAGCCCCAGGTTTCCACCCCGAGGTGGGAAGTATGGTGGAGACAACGGGGACTCCCAGGTGCACCTGTTGCAGAAACGGCTTCTGAGTTCAGAGCTTGGAAAGGCGGGGCTGGGAAACTTGTCACCATTTGGATAAGGTCAGGAGAGAAGGAGGAGCCCAGGAAAGAAGCTCGGGGTGTGCTGACACTTGAAAGGCAGAAGAGGTTGTGCAAGGCCTGGGCAGGTGGCAGGCTGGGTGGGAGGGAGGGAGGGAGCTGAGTGCAGATCCCAAGAGCAGTCCACAGCCTGTCCTGTGCGCTCCCTGCTTACCTGGTCTCTGGAGGAAGCACAGCACGCAGAGGTTGCCATCAAGGAAGGCACGTGACACCTGTCCTGTTTCCATAGCTGGAATGGAGACTGGGTTACAAAAACCCCTGGGGTCCCAGAAAGCTGTCCTCAAGGATGAGAACCCTAATTTTAATTTCCAAGGACAGAGAGAATTCCAAAGACCAGTCAAGAGCACTGGGGAGGACTGAAGGGTCCTGCCCCAGGGAAGGCGGGTCTGGCTCTGGCGACCTCTGCAACCTCAATGTCTCCATTTCCCACAGGTGCCACATTACTGTGTGCTTGGGCCTTCAGGCACTTAGGACACGTGTTCTGCACACCGCTCAATTCAGGCCACCAGTGGATGTGGCCAAATTAGTAAAGTTGGCCCGGGGGAGGCAAGGTCTTCTTACAGTCCCCACACATATGCCCAGGACTCACTGCAGGGGACTCTGGATTGGCTGGACCCAGGTGGCACTGGTCACCGAATCTGACCCTTTGCCCTGTGGGGTTTCTCTCCACAGGTTTATAACCTCCTGTATTCTTGCTCCCCTCCCTGCTTCCCGTGAGACTGTAATTAGGGGAGCGAAGCTGATGACCAGAACCATCTTTCTTGTCTTTCCTGGCCACCATAGGGAGAAGACAGGGAACGGCATCCACTCAAACAGCCCAAGGTGTCCCCTTCTCTGTGCGATCACTGGTGGTCAAGTCTGAAAGCAGAGGGGGAGGACTGTACCAAGCCAGAGCTCAGAGATATCAGCTCAGGGCTAGGGGTGCAGCTCTGGGGTGCAGCGTGCAGGCTCAAGGCCCTGGTTTAAAAAAAAAAAAAAAAGACTGAAACTACTGGTACCAGGCCACCCCCCCACCCCCCAGCCAGCAGACGCCTCCCATGGGGAACGTTTAAACACTGTTTTCAGGTACTCTGAGTTCACAGTAAAGGCAACACGAGAATTTACCATTTCCGTGTATAGGAAGCAGGAGCTAACAACACATAAAATAAATAAAATAAGTTCATCAACAACCCCCCATAAAAACATTTAAAAAGGGGGCTGGGGTTGTGGCTCAGCAGTAGAGTGCTCGCCTCACACGTGCAAGGCCCTGGGTTCAATCCTCAGCACCACATAAAAATAGATCTTGGGTATTTTCAATTTTTAGCAGCCCTTTAAATCAAATGCATTAAATAGGCT